CCACACAAAACGGGGTATGCCAAAAAAAAAAAAAAAAAAAAAAAAACCTCCACAAAAAAACAAAAAACCGGGAAATGCCAACCAGATGCCAAAATAAACATTCGGCTGCTTTTGAGACTGAAATTTCAACTGAAATGATTTCAAACTTAAGAGAGACAGCCTTTTCCAAGTGACCTCACCGCCACACTGGATTAATTTTTGAAGCCCTTAACTTCAAATCTCCTTTCTCTTTGCCCTCTGGAGATCCTGGTGGGATTCTTAGATCACAGATCAGATAATATCGCTGGAATACAAGGCTTTGAGATTTGAGGCCTCAAATTCTGACTGACGTACATGCAACGTGCAAAAATGTTATTATTAAAGAATTTTATTTGCTCATAGTTTTCATATAAAGTCAAGCTGGATGCATTTAGCTTGGTAGAAGCCATAAAAGGTGCAGTCCTCCAGATAATTCCCAAAGATTAGGGCTGTCCCTTCCTCGCTCTGCAGATAGGAAGAGCACAGACTTGCCAGAAGGTGATTTATCTATGCATTTCCAACGCTTTAAAAATGCAAATACTTTTGACTCATCATTTCCACTTTCAGGGAATTATTCTAAGGAACAGGTTAAGAATTAGCAAAAAGGTTAAGGTTTAAAAAGCTATCAACTACAATACTAGTTATAATACTAGAAAAAAAAAGTAGACAATATAACTGATGAAATGCGTGATAAACAACCATACGATGGGCATGCTTTGCAACCATTCAAAAGGTTCTCACACTTTTCCACCACTGTGAGAATGGAGAAAAAAAGCAAACTCATTCTGGTCAGTATATAAAAGAAGACAGCCTTTCTAGAAGACACGTGAAAGTTATAGTAAAAGCTTTTAAATAGGCATACTCTTCGACCTTCACATAGGAGTATATCCAAAGGAAATAATCAGTGGCAAAAAAAAAAGATGAATCTATAAGAATGTTCATCAAAATGTAGCTCATAATAGAAAAGCACCAAAATAAGCCAAGTTCCAAATAAAATAGCAGTTAGGTACATGCATGCAATGAAATCTTATGCAGCCATTACAAAAATTGAAGAAAAAAAAATCAGGAGCAGGTCCCTCTCCTGGCTTCCATGATGTCACACAGTTCTAGTTTTTCTCTGCTTCACTCGTCCCCCATCTCCGCATCCCGTCCCGGACCCTCCCTCTCCAGATGCCTGACTCCGTAGGGCTCCTGTCGGGTCGCTCCAAATTCTCTCAGGAGATAACCACATGCATCGCTATCACTTCACATGCCATCTATAAGCTGACCACTCCCAAATGTATCTCTGCGGCACAGACTTGTTCTCTTGGCCTACTCAAAAGCATCTCAAACTTGTCTGAAAATAAACTCTTGATAGTCCTCCTAAAACTTGTTTTCCACGACACCTCTTCATCCGTTTAAAGAGCCCACAACCCACAGGCTTGTTCAAGCCTGAAATGTGAGTGTCAACTTTTATTCTATATCCAGAATATATCTAAGCTGCCTACAAATTACTTAAAAAGATAAAAGCGTAGCATAAGACAGCATATAAACATATATATATATATATCAAACATACAGTTAACCAAAAAAGAACCCCAAATAGGCAATAAACATAGGAAAAGATGCACAAATTTCACTAGTTACAGGTAAATGCAAATTAAATACTGAAATATTTTTAAACTATCATATTTGTAAAATCAAAAACTTTGATCCCAAGTTTTGGTAAGAATATGGAGAAATAGGAACTATCAAATCGCTAAATAGCTACTTAGTGATGCTGAGTAAAGTCGAATGGGGAGTAGCCAACATTCAGTAATTAATCCCTCTCTGTGTTCCCTTTGGACACCCCTGTGTGTGCCCATGTGTATGTGTGTAAGCATATTTCTTGCAACACTGTAATAACAAATTTGGAAATGGCCTAATATCCATCAAGAGGAAAATAAATAAATGTATTATACATGCAAACAAATATGATAGAACAAATCAAATAGATTCACACATCTAATCATGGACACTGAAAACAAGAGTTCAAATAAGTGGAATTTTAACTATTTGAGAAAATGTATACTTCCTACCATGCTAGATAAATTAGGATGCTAAATATACAAATGGGAAAAAATGATCATTTGTAAGTTGAAAAAATCAAGTTGCAGAAGGCTTTATAATAGCTAATGTTTACTAAGCACTGGGTCAGCCCCACTCCCTCACTCTGTTCTAAGTACTTTTACGAGTAGAAACTCATTCAATTTTCCTAATAAATTTACAGCTTTTCCTGTATAGTGAAGCAGAGATGGAAATCTCCTCCTGGCAAGGACAAGGGCTCTCCAAGTGAAGAGCTGGCATCCGGGGTTAGGACTTCTTTTTGGCAGTGTGTGTGTGTCTGTGTACATCTCTGTGCGTGTCTCTGTGTGCCTGTGTGTGCACAAATGCCCACCCAGTCCCTCCTCTACCTCCCCCATCACCAAGCTACCTGATGTGAAGCTTACACATCAATAGCCACATGGGCTTCAAAGTCAGCTCTCTCAATTAGGGGGGAAGACGTAAATAACGCCAGAGGATGCCCTCACCAGCTACCTTTGTCAATCATCATGTTATAGGAGTACTCAGTTGTGGTTACCCACCAGAAGATAAATGCTATAAATCTTAGTAGATAAAAGTAATGGTATATCCACACATGATGGAAATAAATAAAATTGGAAGAGGAAGAAATTTATCATCAATTTAATGGGGAATTAAAAGATGCTATCTCACCAGTATAATTTTATTAACCAATGTCACCCCAGTACATTCAAAATTTTTTAAAAAGTAAGATACTGTCTCAACAGGATGGATCGATAAACAAACACTGAAGAATATTATATAAGGTAACTAGTCAGATAGTTTAGTATGTTGTGTAAAACTGTGGTGGTATCCATTTAATCTTCTTCCCGGAGTATGCATTCCTCTGATAGTAAACTGTCCCGTTGTGGTGCTGGGGGTCAATCTTCTCCAGTTTGTCTCTTATCCCTTCGACTAGAGCTCCAGGCACAAATGACCAGTAAGGGAAAGTCTGGGAGATGGTACCACACCACAGTTGCTAGCCTCCAAGATGGCCCCCAATGATCTCTGTTTCCTGGCCTTCCCACACTTAAGTTTCCTCTCACACTGTGCTAAGGTTGGTTTGTATGATCATTAGTATATGGAGAACCGACAGTATGAGACTTCAAAGATTAATTTAAAAGACACTGTGGCTTCCATCTTGCTCTTATGAGTAAGTAGCCTTATGGCAAGGCCCACGTGATGAGAAACTGAGTCCTACCAACAGGGAAGTGTCGTCTGGAGCCGATTCTTCGTCCCCAGTAGAACCCTAAAACGAGAGCCGCCCAGGACAACTGTCTGACTGTAACCTCAAGATAGAGCCAGAAAACACCAAGTGACACCACCCTCAGATTCCTGACTCTCAGAAACTGCGTTAGAAAATAAATGCTTGTTTGGAGGTAATTTGTTATACAATCAAACGCATATGCGAAACTAGGTTGCAGCGTCCTGCCGGGTGGGGAATGGCCCAAGCCAATCCCTGTGAAAATTCTGTTGACCTGACTGGCCACCAAGCAACCGCTGTGCTGTCATCAGGATCGGAACCCTCACCGAGGGCATCTTGCCACCCGTATGAAGGGAAGTCCCAGATCTAAAGGAACTTCTCAGGTGAGTGTATCTATTTCTGCTGCCCTCTTTACTTTCCCGAATAATGGGAATAACTAAGGGATCTCAATCCCAAATTGGTCTTTTTCCACATTGTTTCTTGATATTCCTTAGGTCTGCGGACACATTCCAAATGGCAATTTCATGGGGTTACAGCCCGTTAGGGTGGACCCCTCCCATTTCAATCCCGGGACTTAAAATAGTTTTCAATTCTGGGGTCTCAACCCTAGAATAATGTGCAAGAGATGGTAGAAGCTTTTTGGTTGAACCATGTTTATGCAGGGCTACAATACTGTACAACAATCTTAGCAAGGAATTGATGTTGATAAAATGAATAACTTTGTCAGTAATAATTACTCTTTCCTAAAGTTAGGCTCTAAGACATTCCAACTGAACTATCATGACGCGTATTTGAAAGAGTAATTAATATTACTTAATGCCTTTGAATTTCCATCCAATCTGGGCTTGTAATATAGACCTAAAGCAGTTTTAGGGCAACTTTTTTTTTTTAAGCTCCCTAAGACTAAACAATGAAATACCTCACTGTTTAAAATCACTTTTTAAGTTCTTTCTTGGGATTGTCTGAGAATGCTTTACTTTTATGTTCATATCCTCTAACTCTCAAATCTTCTTTACCCCTTAATGCTGGACTTTATTTCTCAAATGATTCAAATGCCATTTATATCAGAGTGGGTGCTCAAAGGATAAAAATGCAATTTTTTTAACTTTTAAAATTAATTTTTACATTTTATCAAGAATATGTAAAAATATACATTTTATTTAAGAATACATGTACATTTTTCTGACCACACCAAAAACAAACAAACAAAAACCTCCCCGGTGAAGTTCTGTTTTACCGTAACTCCCACAATCCCTATGTCCCCCCATCCGTGCCCTAGTCACCGTTGTCAGTTTAGTGTATATTATTCCAGTTCTTTTTCTATTCATTTAGACAAGTGTGTACCACGATAAAAACAGCACTGTTTTGAGGGAGTTGGTTTTGAAAGAACAAGTAAACTCCGTTCTGCAACTTTCATTTTGTTCTCCACCCTAAATTACATCCCGGGGAACCTTCCAGGTCGGTATAACAATAATCCTCCATAAACGGATATTCCATAGTTTATTTAGTCATTCCCCCAGCTTAAGGGGAATTAGGTGCCTGCGATATATTTGTCACTATCACAAACAACTCGACAAAAGACACCACCAAGTTTAATGTTTACAGTGAGTCCTACCACTACTAGCTGTAATTTTAAACAAATAATATTTAATCAGTGCCTCAGTTCTTCATTTGTAAAGAAGATTCTACCACCACCTACCCTTACAAGGTTATAGTGAGGATTAAATGAATTGGCATATTCACGGCCAGCTCTTTGCAACTGTTACCCAACACCGTTACTTTCTTTAGTAGCTCTGATCATTTGGTTTTGGCTCCCGGGAGACTTGATTCCAGATGCCGTGCGCTAGGCGTCACCTTCCAAATCCGAGTTAACTCACGAGCCTGCTGGGGAGTGTCTTCCTCTAACATCCTTTTTTCTCCTTTAAGGCGAGAAGATTTTTCTGACGGTCGCGGCTTTTTTTTTTTTCTCTCTCAACGGCTAACAGAGGTGAGCTGGACACACATTCTCCAACGCCCTGTTCTTGGCCCAAAATCAGTTCCCTCGGCCCAGATACCCAACCTGGCTCCTCGCCACCATGCCTGAGGTCCGAGCCCTCGGCTGGGAACGCGACGGCAGGCGGGGCAGGCAGAGCCCCCGCCTGGTCGCCCTCTGCCTCGCGCTCCCGGGCCCTGAAGCTGCCCCCCAGCACCTCCGGCCGCGCTCAGGTCAGATCCAGCCGGTCCGCCAGCCCAGCGCCCCCTCACTGAGTTCCCTCAGTGACCGCCTCCGAACCCGGAAGTAGGTCCTTGGAAAGCGGAAACCGCGCCCCGGTCTTCTGCGCGCCGCTGTGGGGGGGCGGCCCTGCAGCAGGCCCCGCCCCTTCCGGGAGGGAAGAATGAACCGGCCTGACACGGACACACCCCCGGCGCAGGCGCCGTACTGGGCCGGTCCTCGGGCGGCAGGCGGCGGGGAGGCTGGGTCGGGGGCACGCTGCACTCTGGTCAACCTCGGACCGCGCTCTTCGGCTGTCCTCCAGAAGGCCGAAGGTCCCAGCTGACCATTACATCCAATCTCGGTCTTTCTCCCCTCCCCAGAAGTAAGCAGTTTATCTGTTGAGCGTCCTCCTGATTTCATATTAACACACAGATATACGTGTAAGCAAGTTGCGGATCGATATGTAAAATAGCAAACGGTAAGACAATAAAAACAAAAGCTCCAAATCACATGTATTTTCTGTGGGGACGCGTGTGTACATAAGTAAATATATAGATAATATATTCTTATGTATACATATAAATATATTCATATACACATAAATATATGCATATACTTAAATATATATACATAGAATTATATACACACAAACCCAATAAATATATTTATATGTATACATTTATTTACTTACATGTGAGTACCCCCACTCAAGATATATGTATTATTCGGGGTTTCTGTTTTTGTTGTCTTACCTTATGCTGTTTTACATATTGTTCAGCAACTAGCTTTTTCTGCTGGCTCTTTGAGAGCTAGCCACCTTAAAGTGGGAGCATTCCTCTTTTTTTTTTTTTTTTCCAGTTCGCTTCACCGTGTCTCTCAATCCGCTTACTCAGAGCTGTTGGAAGAAAGGTTAGGAACCAACAGGAAATACTTTGAGATTTCTGGTAAGGGTGGATTTGTTTTTATGGGTAACATAGTACGTTTCACCTCCTGCTCATGATCCTAACTGTAAAATGACATTGTTAATGGTAAGGCTCTCCCACACTGGTTGTAGGCTGTCAGAGAATTAAAGTAGATGAATCCCATAGAAGAGGTACTTGGTCCATTGAATCTTTCAGTAAGTTTTAGTCCTTGCTAGTATTTTGTCAGAGAGCATTCTTCTGAAAGTAATTTTGTATCTTCCTCACTCATCCAGGTGAGTTTTACAATACGCCTCCCTTCTCTTCAGCTCTGCCCTCTGCTCTTCTCCTTGACACCTGCAGTGCCCTAAGAATATAAAGGGTGGATATGGTATGGTCAAGCTGGGGCGACCACAGGAGGAAACAAGACAGAGGTTTAGAAGGAAGAAGTTTATTATACTCAGAGGTCCCAGAGAGGGGCGTCACTGCATGCCATGCAGAGCCCCAGGGGAAGCACAGGGCTTGGGCCAGGTGGCCAAAGACAGGAGTGATGAGAAAGCTTGAGCCAGAGCCCATGCTGGGGTTTCCATGGAACAGGCAAGGCACGACGGAGTAAGCAATTTAGGGTTGGCTAGTTGGGATAATCCCAGCGGGTTTGGGGCTATAGGGAGGTCTCTAGTTGCCTGGTACCTGGCTCTGATACAATTGAGGGCAGGGAGTTAGATAAGGAAGTGGCTGAGTCTGTGGACTTGGGATTGGCTGGTTTACATTGCTCTATGAAGATCTTTGCTACCTCTAAGAATTGCCTAGCCCTAGGATGGACAGTCTCTCCTGGCCAGCAAACTTTTTAACCTGTCAAAACATCATAAAACATATTTACATACATTTATACATTTATATCATAAAATGTAGAAAATTAAAAACCATTAATATATGCAGATCTCGTTCCTTCTGCTCAGAACACTCTCCTGCCCAAGTCCCCACTTCACCTGACTTCCTGTTACTTCTCTCTCTGGTCTGTAATGAAATGTGACTTGTTGCATTTATATATAACATACTATCTCCCTCTATTAGTTGGCTAAGGCTGCTGCAACAAAGTACTACAGAGTCGGTGGCTTAAACAACAGAAAGGGATTTTCACACAATTTTGGAGGCTGGAAGTCCAAGACCAGTCAGGGTGCCAACAGGGTTGTTTCTTTCTGGGCTGCGAGGGAGAACCTGTCCTAGGCCTCCTACCTGGCTCCTGGTGTTTTGCTGTCAATCTCTGGTGTACTGTGGCATGTAGAAGCGTCACCCCAATCTCTGCTTTCACTTTCACGTGGCATTCTCTGTGTGTATGTGTCTGTGTCCAGATTTCCCCTTTTTAGAAGAACACCTGTAATTGCATTAAGGCTCATTTTAAGGACCTCATTTTAACTTGATTACCTCCATAAAGACCCTGTCTCCGAATAAGGTCACATTCTCGGGCAGTGGGATTAGGATGCCAACATACCTTTGGGGGAACACAATTCAACGAGAACACTCCCCTCCCAGTTTTCCCTGCACCCCTCTAAGTTAGTGCCTCCCACTGTGCAATTCCTAGCACTTCTTTCCATCCCCATAGCACTTAGCACGCTTTATTGTAGATGTTACTTTTTTTGAAACCAATTCCTTTTCCTCCCTCCATATCCTCTCCCCATAGAAACATAGTGGAAACCCCATTAGTACAAGCACTGTTGATATGTCTCTTGCTCGTCATTTTTTTTCTTCTGTATCATGCACACTCTTATGCTCAGAGGACATTCAATGGAAAATTGATGAATGAATGAGAACTGTCTGGGGGAGAAGACGGCCAGTGTGCGTCGCTGCTCTCGTGTCTTAATGTGTTTATTGCCTGGAGAGCATTTACAACGTGTTTGCTAATTTCCAGAAGGAATTCTCTTGGGATTCATTACATTACTCTTGTAACTTAATTAAAAGGCGTTATATATTTGCCCTATAAGCAATTTATTATGTTCTAGAAAGAGTCCCTCTGGAATCAGTTTCATCACAGTTGCGATCTCATTTGGGGACACATGACACCTATTCAATATTGAGCTATAGCTCCTCATTCGGCAAGCCTCCCTCGGTTACGTTTGATCGTGTTCTTCATTTAAGTTCCACAAGTTATTTCAGTTTATTAGTTATTATTTACTATTTTGTTTCAGTCACTAATTATGACATTTTCTAAGTTGTTATCGTTAATACATGGAGATCAGCTGACTTTACATACATATCTTTTTAAATCAACCTTTTACACCCTCATTGGGTTTCTATTGATTATATTGATTCTCTCTCACCTTATTTTTATTCTTGTTTATTTACACTGGCCCAAAAAACAAGAATCATGTTTAATTATTACAGTAATAACACACTTTATGGTTTTGTTTTTGAATAGAAATTATTTTAAATTTAAGATATTTTATCTTTCTTTGTGTGATTAGTCAGCCAGCTAAGTCTTTACTTTTTAGTTAACATGTTTGCACCACTATTTCTCATTCCTCATTTGAAACCTTATGCCATTATACATTGCTGCCGTTTTCTTGACTTTTGGCTTCTGACTTGTGTCATTCTTTCATGTTCGCGGGGAGGCTGTAGTCCGCAGCGCGATCGAAATTATCACTCAACTTCAGCATCTGTGTGGATAACAAAGCAAAGTTACCTTGATACATCATTTTCACCGTTTTTCCAAGAAAGTGGTGAAAATGACGTATTAGAATAACCAAGAGACTAGCGATGAGTGCTCTCTGAACTCTAAAACCCCCCAATGACGCTAATTCTCATATTTTCCACGTAATATATAAGCACCACCTATATATTACCCCAAGCCAAAATGATAGAGTTGGGACCTCCAGGGATGATGTCTTCGCAGAAACACTGAAAACCCTGGTGAAAACTGTCAGAATCAACTTTCTCAAAACTCTGGAAGGTAGTCCAAGGTTTACAGAAACGAAGCAAATACTTAACCACGAGAAAGGTCACTGAAGCAGGCTGGGAGAGGGTCCTGGCATTTAATCTTCTCCCATCCGACCCAGCACAGCGGCAGGAGGAGAGCAGACCTTGACCTGGTCTGTTGTGACTTGCCTAGAGGTTCCCTGAAGGACTGACACAAGAGGCCTGCCTTTGTCCTAACCCAGAGCTCTCTTGGGGCGGAAAACTGGCTATGGCTACATGGAGTCGTTCCTGGAAAACACTGAAAGCCACATGAACAAGCCAATACAGCATGGGGCAAAAAAAAAAAAAAAAGTTGACACAGACAATTGACATGCGTAAGGCTGGGGAGTGAGAAACTTTGAGAAAAGGGACTTTGAAAAATTCCCACATACGCTGAGGGATCCAGAAAGTCAGGTGCATAGCCAGGGAAGAGTGTATGCTCAGGAAGACTTGGTAAGACCGTAAGCTTTCCCCAGCTTTCACTGCCAGTGGCCTTTATATTCTGCAAAAGCAGGAGTGAAGGCTAAGACAGAGATGTAAACAGCCTGGCTAAGTGCAGAAGGAATGCCCAACACAGAGCCGACCTACAAAGAACTGCTTGCTCACATATATCAAGCCGTATTTCAAGTGCTCAGTTACTGTATGTGACTAGTGGTTACTATGTCAGGCAGCACAGGACTTTATCATCATTGCAGAAAGTTCTCCTTGATAGCTCTGGCTTAGAGCTTTAAAGGTATGGATTCTGGCCCTGACTAGCGTGGCTCACTTGGTGGGGTGTTGTCCCACCAGGCAAAAAGTTGCTGGTTTAATTTCTGATGAGGGCACCAGCCTGGGTTGCAGGTTCAGTCCTCTGTTGGGGCATGTACAAGAGGCAACCAATCAATGTTTGTCTCTCACATGAACGTTTCTCTCCCTTTCTTTGTCCCTCCTTTTGCCCCTCTTAAAAAAAAAAAGGAAAGAAAAAAATTTTGACCCTTTAAAACAAAAAGAACATGATTTCTGTTACTTACTAGCTTGTGTGATCTTAAACAAATTAGCCTCTCTTTGTCTCAGTTAATCACTCAGTTAAAATGGAAATGCTTATAGAACCTACCTCGCGTGGTAGTTGCAAGAATTAAACAAGTTAACATGTATAAATTTTTAGAAGTAATATCTGGCATAGAA